AGAAAAGAAAGTTGCTGGCAGAATGTTCTTTCGACTACATTGTTCCCGGGGACCCTTGTAGAACTTCTGAACGCGCCTCCCATCCTTTTATAGAAGCGGCACGTCGCCGGTTGCAGAAGTTAGAATATTTCACCACCACGACGGCTAAGAATCTCGCGTGTCAAACGACGGCGGCGGCATTTCCCGAACTACCAAAAGTGATTTCTGCGTATTTAATCACCTGAGAACAAAGCCCCCGTAAACTAAGTAAACCGTGCTCAAGCGTAGATGATGTTGACCAGTCATGCAGCTGTCCGGGAGCCATGAAGGACATGCCACGACCAGACGAAAAGTGTACTGGTTGCCAGAAACCTCGAGCTAATCCGCTGAAGTATCGGCTTTCTCCCCGCCAGAATCCCGGTGTGAGAAAGAGGTTGGGGTCATCCGTCAGCGAGCCGCGCGGACGAGGGGAATCGCTGATGTGGGGTCACGTGACGCGCCGTCCGTCCCGCCACATCCGGATTCGGTCCGTCGTCTGAGTGCACCATAAGTGACATGGGAAGATATTCTTAACCTACTTATATACAGGGGTCCGTACTCTTAACTGGCCCATAATCACTGCAACATGGCCGTCAAAGCGTGCGGCTCTAACGTTTGCACGCGCCGAAAGGAGAGTCTATACGTAGTCTGAGCAAAGATATCAATCAACAGCGCAGTTCAGTTCTGGTCATTCGTTATTACTAATATATGCCACGTTCGCCGCTATCAGTCCAAGACTGCTATCTGTGCAAGACTGCTGCTGTAATTGGACTTGCCGTTTACCGGGCACAGGTTCGCCCAAATAAACAGTTAAATCCCAACACGAAGTCTCCTGTCTTCGGCCACGTCACGACCCCGTGACAATATGATGGATACTTTGCGGGATAGATGCAAAGTTCCTATGCAGACGCTACCAAATGGGTCGAATTTTTAAAGAAGCAAGGGTTATCTGTAAAATAGCAAAATACATTTCAAACTTATTACACTTTATGGGCACCTGTACCTGAATGTGTGGCAAATAATATTGGGTGTCACGCCGATGCCCGATATGATGTACGCCGGGTTGGGCCGCCAGGTTCATAAGCCCACATCGATGAATTCAAAAACATCAGAAAATAAAAGATACAGGTACATTCTGAGCCGCTATACGGACTGGGTGAGAGCATCTACCCACCCGCGATACCCCAAACTCGCAAGAGTATAGAGATGGTTTTGTTCCGAAAACTTCATGCCGGCCCATTCACCCCATTTTATCCTATTGCAGTATCCATGCAAGCTACCATAATGGCTGTACTTTCCGCTTGCAACCAGTATACTCTTCCACATAGATGGCAGTGTGGGCACAACGCATCGATACTGCCTCTCACGGAACCAAATGCCAAGCAGTGGGAGGCCCAGCTGACAAGCTAATTACTTGAAGACGTGGAATGTCTCGTGAACAGGGCAAACCTGTCGGTTTAATCCCATGAACTGCTGGTCTATATGGACGCCACGAAGCCTGTCCAACTCTACCGTCAACCCCTGTCTCGAATAAAGTTTAGTCCTCCTCCGCCGATGGCTTTTCGTAACAGCTTAACCTTGTGCTAACTTTCACAGCACTTAATTGTCACTGACAAGTAACGAGTCAAGTTCTTTTAAGGTATCTGAAGGCACCAACAGCGCCCTTAGGTAGTTACGTAGCTCTTTTGCTAAAGTAAAGCGATAAACGTGCGTATTGCCGGCGGATCATGAACATAAATGCAGTGTGCTCGTATGCTCACACTGCTCCAGAAACTTTTTTGAAAAACAAGTGCCTGCATGCTTACTACAATTAATACGCGAGGTAGCAGCATGTACGTCTAAATTTTACGTTTCGTTGTGATATAAATAATTACGAGTTTAGTACGTAAAATTGTTTCTGAAACGTTTTTTTTTTCAATCTGTACAAAATGCTCAGTGTCGACCATGGACTGTAGCCCACCAATCGTCTTTATCTTATTATCTTGACCTTGAATTATCTTGATCTTGAACTTATCTTGATCTTGAACTTGTGCAGTTTACTTTCAAGTTATAATAAATGCATTTCATTTTTCTTCTACCAAGGACATGGTGACAATGCTAACATATATGGTTACCTCCAGCTCTTTCACATGTTTTCACGGCACTTCAGAGCCATGAAAATGATGCGAGCTGCTGCACACAGACTGTTCACATGGGGCTGGAACGAGTGGAAGTGATGAAAAGATCAAGCGTTCATGTGCTTTGGAAGATGTCATTTTTATTGTTTTTATTGCTTCGGCAAAAAGACACTGTAAAATAACACAGTCATGTCAATATACAGAGCCAGCACAAAACCCCATGTGGCGCGTGCAGGTGCGACAGGATAGTGACACGGGCAATCACGCCATCACTTTTGATCCGCCAGGGAGATATACAAGGGAAAAACAAATAAATGACACAAATGCGAATAGCTTTGCGTGGCACACACGGCAGGAATGCCACAATTTACAGCGTACTTATAGGCTAATATACTTTGGACGCCGAACTGTATAACATATATAGCCGAGATTTCAAAAAACACCATAGTCGCAAGCTTTCACCGTAAACCATCTATTGACACGACAGCTTTTTCCCTTTAAAATGGTTCTATTGGTTTCTTCGTCCAGCGAGAAACATGAATGCCACAATATCGCGATAAGAAAAAAAAGGGGAATACATGGAGCACCACGGCCTGTTCACAGACATTTATGCTTTAGCGTGACGGACTAAGTTAAATGACTAAGTCACATTTCGGATCGCATGAGAGGTCCGCACGTATATCAACCTTTGAAGAACACTCGATGAACACAACGACCAGCACTGAGTTGCAAACTGAGTTTGGTTAAAAAAAAGAAAGAAATGAAAGGCGCATCTGCCTCGGTAAGAAACTTGTCATTTGCTCTCTCTTCACCTTGGGATATTTTTTTCTCTCTCGCACGTCCTTGCTGTCAAACTCACATCTCATGAAAGTGGACCAATGTTCTACGTTAATATTCTACACTATAGATATTAACCATCCGCGTGCAAATATATGTCACGGCATCTATTTACACGCGCCCGCTGTTACACTTGGAGCCATGTAAACAAATAGCACGGTGGGAGACACGCAAACACGACACGACGTTCGCCTGGGCTTCCAAAACGAGGTTTCACTCACGCTGTGTCCTTTGAGGAGAGGGTTACTTGCAGGTCAGGCGTAACTGACCGAAGGGCACGTGACGCTACTGGATTCTGCTGGGTTGTCGTTAATCGGGTGCGGGATGCGCTAAACAGCAAGTCATGAAGACACAAATGAGCAGCTTGATCCTCACAAGACGGTGTTCACATCTGCTTACTCGATGAAGTCGCATTGAAAAACAAATTATGAGCGGTGAACGATTAAATTCAGCCCTTAGTCAGCGTATCGGCAAAAAGTCGTGCATTAAGTCAGGAGGAAACTATACAAAACCCCAATTTAAATACAGCAGGCGAAGTGAAGTGTTCCATTGACGACCACAAAATCGCTTGTCAAAATGACGGTTCTGAGCTGAGTCAACTTTCTTCCTCCAAGGTCGACCGAAATAAATTGCTGTTTTTAGAATAACAGAAAGCTGAGTCAGTTGGTAAAATACTCATTATTTCTTGTGTCCGTGTTTACACGCCCTCTCTTAAAAGAAGTACCAATACTTAATACTTCAGTGACATGTTCAAGGCCACACAACTTATTGAGTGGACTTGAGCCAACAAAATCAAGGCCTGGTGCCTTGTATCATGGAGGGAGTCTCAAACTCACTTAGAAGGCCACGGTCCCAGAAATTTACTCCTGCAACGCCTTCAATGACCATGGCAAGGACTGGAGGGGGGGGGGGGGGGGGCAGCGGGACTGGAGGCGAGGGGATACGCTGTACAGCATGTCAGCTAACTTTGCCATTTGAAGACCTTTCCCATATTGCGTAAATGGTAATTTCATTTATGAACGGTATTTAGGATAAATAAAGAAAAAAATAGGCCGAACCGTCTGTCTATTGGGTGAGGACGTGTGCTGATACAGTTTCTTATTGCGTGGTTTCAAGGTACAGGTATCCGCACTTTACCCTTTTTTTAAATCCCCAGATCCCCTTTCCTGCGCAGAGCAGCAAGAGAGTGATTTGCATATGCCGGGTGAATTATCTGCTTTTCATTAAAGAGTTCTTCCTCTCGTGTAGTTGATTTGGAGCCAGGATTTGAACAACATATCGATACCTATCTCCAACATTACCAAAACCTTGACGCCGGTTCTGAAATACAGTTTTGTTTCACGGTTATGTGTCAATGCATGGTTACCACAAGGGATGCGTCATAAGTTCTTTAGACCAGTCGTACTTGTGTAGCTCAAGAACGCACCTGTTAAGAAAAGAAAAAAATAAAGTGCGATTAAGTCAGTCATGTGCAGGCTGCACCAGTAAGTCAGCTGGCTGCATACGGCGCATCGGCCGCGCGTTTGAGACCCCTGTGCTATTGGGTTATTTCTTTAACACAGAATTGTAAATTGCACATATAGAGATATACCTCATTACTTTCGCAACTATTCATAGAAAAAATCAACACACCACAGCGTACTAAGCAAGCAAGAAAGTTGAACTCATAAATGGCAATTTACCCGCAAGCGTTATTTTATCGCGTGGATTGCGAAGAGCACGTAAGTGGACGTGCCGTCTCTAGAGTATTTCGCAGTGGTGCCATTTTCTATAGTTATTCAGGTGCTTTTCGCTCCTCTATTTGAAATAACTAAGGGCATGAGAAGCACAATATTTAAATTTATTGGCTTCCAGATGAAGTAATTGCTTTTTCCCCTCTTTCCTCCTCTATTCTTTTCCTCAACTTCTCTCCTTCTGCCGTGTAGGGTAGCAAACCGGGTGCAACGTGGTTAACCTCCCTTCCTTTTTTTCTCTCTCTCTTTCAATCTCTTCAGCTCAATATGTTATCGCGTTGAGATAACGTAGAGAAGAAACATCGTAGGGTTTTTATTGTGAATAAAACGTTGTGCCACTACTCCCCTATAGCACAAAATGGTCGACCAGTCTCGAGCCATTTTACAGAAGGTAGTTTTAGAAAGACTATGAATTATCTCTGTTCATTAGAAAACACACCCGCAACACTATTGTCGACAACAACGCGGGTCGTTCATATTTATCGAATCCTCTTTCGTCAGAACAACTTAAACATTGTTCGATGTGTCAGTGTTGAGTGAGGACGTGCGTTGGTGTTTTTATAATGGAATTTTTTTTTGCTTAAACATATCGATAGCACGATTAATCGCGTAAACGGTATACGAGAAAGGTAGCGTTCCTTCAGTTGGCTTATTTTTATCAGACCATATTATTGTCTTTTCGCGCCATATTTATACACTGGTGCACGACAACGAAAAGCATGTACAGCAGCACAACTATACACCCGAAACAGCTATGCCACACATATCACATCGATCCTCATTCACTTATCAATCGATTTCAGACATACGCGCACGGGATCCACGGTGCATGCAGGGTACGTATTTCATATGAAAGACCTAATCAAAGAACCACGACTGCACGGCATATAGCCGCAGAAGCTTTCGCCGTCAGTGTATACAATGATCGCGCCCCGCTGAGCACACGTGAGCGCATTGTGTACTGCCTGCTTGATCTCTCGGGCGTCGTCTGAAGCGTCAGTTCGACTGCGGCATCGGTCGAACTGTGCTATAGGAACCGACAAGCGCGACGAGACGTGGGGCAGTGCGCTCGATTGACATGGCTGGAAACGAGCATTGGCCGCACACTCGAGAAAGCACGACTCCCGGTGTACATTGCGCGCGTTTACACTCCGAAAAGAAAACAAAAAGAAGGCGCCGGATGGCGACGTCCAGCGACGGCGAGGTGTGTGCGCAGTCAGAAGGGCACGACTTCAAACTGGAGTCCTCTCCTCACTGAGCTGTGGCAAGACGCGCGGCCCTCTCACAGCCTCGGAGTCCATGAAGTGTAGGCGCATGGAAGACGAGTCCCAAAGAACGGGCGAGCAGGGGCTCAGGGACCGTGCTCGCGCTTCGCACAGTCTTTTGTCCCTCTTGTTTTTCTTCTTTTTCTGTCGCCCAACCTGAGGTTGTGGCACATATAGCGCGAGAGGTCACGCAGTCTCTTGTTATAGTATGTACAGTATCTGGGCCTCCTGGGAGAATAACTATGTACAGGGCTAATTAATGCACGGGGAAAGGGAGAAGAGTATTGCACTGTGTATGTAAGCGGGTGTGGCCACTTAGATGGAGGCTAAGCTGTCGGGTCGGCGGTCGTCGCGGTGGTGGTGCCGTAGCAACGGGTCCTCCTGGCGCATTTTCTTGGCGTCGCCGTGTTCCATCTCGTGGTCCGACACGTCGTCGTGGCGCAGTTGCTCGGCCTCGTTGTCGTGCTTCTTCTTGGCCGTCGCCATCTCGGCGGCGTGCTTCTTCCGCCATTTCGTTCTCCGATTTTGAAACCACACCTGCGCAAATAAACACGCGTGCCAGGTGAGTTTCGATCTGTCGTCGATAAAGCCGGAAAGCTATGCGTATAGATGCCACGCTGGCAGGCACCTCGAATAAACACTCCTCACGCGTGAAAAAGAAAAAAAAAGAAAGAAAGAGAGAGATTGCATGGCTGATGACAATAGATATCAGAAACAATAGGAACAGTTTGAAAAGTTGACCCTCAGAACAGATTGGTAAAAGGCCTCAGTAGTTTCATTTCGGGTAAGTTATTTATGCAAACTCCCATTGCTGCACTCTCTTTAAGGACCAGGCATGCAAAGATAGAGAAATACATGTTTTTTTTTAATGTCCACTCCTTCGCGAGTACAATTACTCCATCATTTTCTACTATTAAGAGCATGAAAACAAGTCCGCTTGATTTAGTCTGTGTATATGCACCTCGTGAGCACGTTAACGTGAGTGCACGAAGGGTTCATCGACGTTCTGCAACTGCCTATCTGCTCAGCGCTAATATTGTCTCGCGTTAGCGGAGCTCATACAGTAAAGGAACAAGTATTTGTCAGACGCAGGCAATCAACAAGCTATCGAATAAACAAGGCATGTAAAGCAATGGAGGCGAAAATGAAAAAAGAAAAACACTATTGCCAAACTCACTCTTTCATTGTGTCTATGCATGTATAAAACTATATCTTTGAAAACGAATATAAATGGAGCCTAAAAACGAAGAAATGTATTACAGCAGTCTTAAGCATATATGAAATAAAGCCAACTGGGAAGGCGACAACTGACGTTCCAACCCAATCATTACATTATTACATCTTACATAAATTTGACACGTTGGGGTGGAAAGAGAGAGCAACGATATAATTCAGGGAGTTAGGAAGTGAAGCAACTGTATTGGTCCACAACAGACAAGGGTAAACTAAACGTCACCACGGGAAAAAAATTATTCAATTTTTTTCCCTCTTTTGTTTTTGCTGTGGCGTTTACAGATGCATCATTAGGTTGAATATAAACTTGCGCCAGGACTCAAGCCCGCGTTCTTTAACATTGAAGGCGAAACAAAAATAAGTGTTAACGTATTCCATGTCCCTAATTACTCAAATTAGGAATTCAATTCTTTGGAACTTTACTATCTCACGTTCAGTTGAATCTACTTTGAGGACAGGAAGAGAGTATTATGCCCTATAAAAAACTTGGCAAAGAAAAAAATAGGCAGAGAAACAGCTAAAACGAACACGACATTGTTGTATACCTGTGTATCTATCTGTGTTTCGTTCATGTAACAGGTTATACAAATTTACTATCAACTAAAATATCACCCGAATTCGCACCTACTAAAATTTACGACAAAGCGTCACCTATAGTATACACAAATGCATGCGTCACGCCCTTTCCGTAGAACGACAATTATGGCGAAACTGGCTCCTGCATCAAGATGCATTCATTATAACGCACTTGACAAAGCGACATGCCCCTCGTATAGTCTTCTCTGTGTGTATATACTATTTTCAAAATAAGAAACGGGGCCCCGAGAAGACGCCCGCTTTACCACCCTTATACACGCGACAGTGCTGACATCTATACACGTATGGCACACGTACGCTCAGCAAGTATAGCACAGCTTGACGGCGTTTAGCGTACGATATATTCAAGGCAGAACGAATCGGCTTGATAGCCTCCGGGGTCGCATAGGGCGAGTGCGTCCACGAGAACAAGCAGTCCGCAATGTCCCCCCTGCGCGCGGTAATGAAAGCCACCGCGGGCATCTGTTGATCATCCCCCTCCATCTCTGCTCATCGGGCTCGTGGACGTGCCGAGCTCAAATGAGGCCGCCCGCTGCTTCCCGTATGAGCGGACCGGGATACCACCGCTGCACGCCTCAAGGCCCCGCACAACGTGACGGCTTCTACAGTGGCTCTCATTGCCGAATGAAAGGCGCTTCTGTTGTCCATAGATTGGCGGTCGTTAGTGGACCGGTAGGAGAGCCATTTCACGCCTATTGAGCGAACAAGACGCGAGGCTGGAAAACGGCCTTATTGTCTTCTGATTGTCCACTGGTGGTTACCAGATGAGCTGATGTCGCTGGGACCCGCTTTGTACTTATTTGCTTTCTTTTCCTGCTGTTTCTCACACTTTCGCTCTCTTTCTCTCTGCACACGCAAACAGAGGAACCCCATTGTGAGCCTAATAGCCCAGAGTCGCGTGTCGCGAGCAAGCAGGTCTTAGTCCTGCATTTTTGTATCTTTAATGTACATGGTAATGCCATATTCCTCAACCCTACTCGATTTCGACTGATAGTAAGGCTTACCGAACAGGCAAACCGTTTTGCCGTGCGTCAATAAAGCATGATTAAAGTGGTCTATCACCTTGTAGGTTACGGTCACTGATAAGAACAGACTCGCGAAGAAAGAACAAAATAAGAAAGTTGATTCTAGTCTCACAGGAATCGACCCTATATAACACGAAAGTCAAACGCGTCTGTGCAGCAGGCGTTTCAGCTTTGTTGAACGTCAGAGACGTGCTTGTACATAAATCTACAGGCTCTATTGCAAAAAATAGCAGCAATATCTACTGAAAGCGAAGCTCCTTTGAACCTTTGTTATCACTCAGTGCCTCTGTAGGCACAGCTTGAAGCCACGTGGTACGTTTTCCCGAGCCTCTTTCACCCTCTTTCAACAACAAGGTCATTTGTGACTGAACTTTCCTATAACTTTTCGTTAAGAAGTCCTCTTCTAAAAAGAGTTCCTTAGCTAAGTCGTAGCTAAGGAACTCGAATTGAAAACTAAAAGGGAATTAGGAAACCTGTCGCGCGGATACTGCGAAGCTATAGCGTGACTTTTTATTGACGTCGTTACCGTAACGAAAATGACGTCGCTAAGTTCTACGGCGGCTTGACGTTAAACACTGTCCGCTTGAAAGAATATTAACTGCGGTATAGCTTCGTGAAAGCCTCAATTCTTCAGAAATTAATGATACTTCGAACACGCACAGGCAAATAGCCAGCTGAGCACAGCAACTCATTGAGCTTCACAGCAAGAGAACTTTGCTCTCCGTGTAGTTGAAGAAGTGCACCCATTATTGTAATCGGAATGTCTTGGCATAGGAAATGTTCATGAGCAGAAAAAAGGAGGCAGACAGTGTTAACTATAGATTCATATACACTCTGCCCATGCGAATGTACTGCCTGTGAAAATATAGGGTGCGTTCCATACTCACCGTAGACGGCTAAATAGACAGCTAAGTGGACAGCGGTCATCTTAAGTCCCATTTTCTCGTAGCCAGCAAAATAGCTTCGCGAAGACAGCATCAGAGACAAAAACGATGCAGGCTACTTTGTTGTTCAAACAAGATGGCAGCTCAAAGAATTGCTCGATACGTTCTGATCTCGCTGAAATGGTCGTCTGCACACAGGCAGACGCTTCTCAAGACGCTAAATGTGAGTGACGTTCAATTTATCTTGGATATGAACACTAAATTAACTAAACAAAAACGCTATTTTTTATGAATAAACTAGTAATTTGCTTGGTTTTAGTCTGTGGATGCCTGGTGCACCTGCAGTCTACTCATGAAGAATATTTAGGTTTTTGTCTGATACTCTATATTAAATTGTTTCTTGTTTATATATATATCTATATATATATATATATATATATATATATATATATATATATATATATATATATATATATATATATATATATTACGTGCCATTTGGATGCTAATGCTGAAACCTTGTTGACGTCTTACGCTTTCGTAGCCTTTTGTATGAGCTATTGATAGTAAACAAATATGGAGCACCGGCTTTTCCCCTCACCCAGACACGCGGTAAACGATCCCAAACGTGATACGTAAAGTACAACTCCTCGCACCATCTTCAGAACAAAGCACGACTCACCAGCGCGGTGCGAACGAGAAATCGATGGCTCGTCAACAGATGCCACACCTGATGCATACGACAAAAAGGCGCGGGAGATCCTGGTTGACATCACTGTCGAGCACTCAAAAGCACTGTGGGAGTCGGGCTATTGAGGGCTACCCGGACGTGGAATAAGAAAATGAGGAGCTTAATTGCTTTTCATTCAAAACGTTGACACTCACTTTTACTTGACTTTCGGACATGCCAAGGGCGTAGGCAAGCTTGGCTCTCTCGGGTCCTGCGAGATACTTGGTCTGCTCGAAGGTCTTCTCTAAAACGTAGATCTGGTGACCGGAGAAGGTGGGTCGCGTATGCTTCTTCTTGCCGTCCTTGTCCAAGCAGTTCTGGGCCACTGGAGAAAGAGACAAGAAGGACCCCACGTTCACTCTGTGCCACAGCAGAGATCAAGCACATGCAGGCTTGGCTTTCTCAGAGCATGCCCCATTCAGCCCTGTCTTTACCCCTTCACTTATAGTACATGCCACTATAGTTTTCAGTGGATTAACTTCATCATCTTGAGATAGTAACGACTGATTTACTTACGCTATACCGTATACAATGCACGATTCTCCTGACAATGACACCGAAACGGCGAGTCGTTCAGCCGCGTTCAGCTCTGCGCTGACACTTTTCTCTTGTGTGATAGTGATTTGACAGTCACATGAATTACCAAACGTTTTTCCTTGATTTTACAACGCAGGGTATTATGCGATCACGACAACAGTCTTTTTTTTCTAACAATGCTGTCCGTTGCCGCCGGCAGTGTCCGTGTAGCGGGCTGCTATCGCATACGAAAAAAAGGAAGAAAAAAGAATGGTAGAAAATTCCAGCTTGAATCGAACCTTCTGCGTGGGAGTGAAGTATTCCATAGCACAGGGACAACGCCAGTGCTTAAAACGTTTGCTTAAAGAGACCCTATACAAATGTCACATCCGAGGAGAAGTCACGTTTGCTGATGTAATATTGCGTGGCAGAAGTGTGCGATCGCATCATGCAGGCGTCACAGCACGTGATTTGCGTAACGAGCGGGTGGTTTGAAGCTGCCCACGAGTTACAGTGGGTTCAGCCATAGTTCATCATCATTATAATCATCATCATCATTATCATCAGCTACTCATAAACGAGTGCGCAGAGGGCACACATTGCTTCGCGTAATTGGTACTTCGCAACCGTGTATTTGCACGGCGCTCCCTAAATAAGTTCGCAACGGAATCCAAGGCGGCTGCTCCAGATAATACAGTGCAACTATGCTGAGTGTTCCGCACAGGCCTGTAACATCAAGCGCAGTCTCAGTGATTCAAGCAATGAAGGACAAGAACAACAAGAGAGAAAGCAGAGAGGTTAACCAGGCACATAACCGGTTGTCTGCCCTACACAAGGGGGAATGGGGTGACAAGTGTTATGACAAGATCCCAAGCTGTCCGTCTCATTCACTCGCCAATACAAACTTGCAAATATTTGTTTGTTTCAAGCACGGCTGTTGCGATATCATCCTGCTACGATTGTGGTGACAAAGAGAGGAGACCATTGTAATGTGGAAATAGCGATCCTTTATGAGTTCAATCTCGGAAAGCATTAACGCTTACGAAAGTTGGTTGTTGGGCTAGTTGGTACATTGCGCTATACTGCGCTATCAGAATCAGGTTTGCGAACATTAAGCTATGTTGCAATGCGATGATTTACAGCAGGCAGAGATTTCAACTATGCGCCCTTTACAAAGTATAACGAAGATGAGTGATGGCAGCTCAACAGTATGAGGAAAAAAATCTTGTTAGTTTTTTTATTGTTTTTGAAAGAAAAAGGACATTTAAAAAGTGTTTCGCAAGCCGAACACGGGCTTGAGTCATTGAGTGTTTGGCCATGCGTTGAGATCCTTCAAACGCACCTTTATGTCATCAGCAAGCATGTCTAGCTTCTCAACATACTCGCACAGTTTTTAATATGTAGCTTGTGATCTCGCGCTGCAAATGATTTACTGTATGCTAATTTTGACAGTGCGATGATGACACTCCAAGAAATTTATTTACTATGCAAGAAATATTCAACCGCTTTTGTCTGCCAGGGGTCTCAAACTTATCGCAAACATGGGCCGTCAGTCACGTAAAAGTGAACCGAAGGAATAGCAGTGAAAGAGACGAAACACAGGTTTCCAGTGATATTTCCTTTTCAGCACGGTGATAATTATGTCCACCAATCTGAGACATTGTCTAGTGCAGCAAAGCCGACCCCAAAGGGAAGCGCTAGGCGTAACGCTATGGGGAGCATTCTTCAAAAAATTGAGCAATGCGTGATTTTTCGCTAATTGCACTTCAGGCACTTAATGCTGACAACGTCCTTGTGTTGTACAACGCGATTAGTTTTAGCTGGCTGGCTGGATTTTTTTTTTTGCAGGACACCTTCGTGTATTCATTGAAAACGTATGGGCTGATTTTTGAAAAGCTGATTGCAGCGCAACGATAAGTTATTCGCTGATTGCACTCTATAGTGGCATGTAAGGTAAGACAACTTGTTTTGGTGTTTGCAGTTTCGTGGGATTACGCTGGGTGTTTTTTTTTTCCTGAAGAGCTTTCCCAAATCAATAGTGCAGGAAAGCAGCATTGCAAGGGTAAAAGAATCACCTATCGGTAAATCAATGAGAAAGTGGGCGTTGATCATGGTAAAACGTCAGCAAAAGTCTGCAGATGTGATGTACATTATGATGTACAGAATCGAGGTTTCTACGCCACGTGGTGTGAAAAGCGGTGAACTAAATGTGATGTCCCGAATTGCTGGGTATGACTATCCTATATACTTTCGTGGTACATGATATACTACATACTGGCGGTGACAATGACATGCACACGTTCGCAATGACATTTACACGTGTACTCGCGGTCCACTATGCAGCTTTTGCGGCATGCGGCTTTTTTAGGTAGCGCACTCGGCTTTCTTCTGTCCGCATGCAAATGGCAGCCATTGGGGGCCACACTCCACAGCGCAGCGCGCTCGTCGATGATTTCACTGCCGGGTCTCGGGGAGGAACGAGCAGCGAGCGGCCTGGAAAGCGAGGGGAGCGCCACCGCGGTGAGCGATTATTTGCTTGCCGCACTTCGGTGGGCCAAGAATTGGCTGCCAACGCGCTCCGAGGGCGCCTGCTGCCGGGGGGAAACGCAGCTGCTTTGCCAACGGCTCTCGATATTGGGTTGCGAATCGCAGGACGCCATAAACCAGCTCCAGTCCTAATGCACACGCTCATCGGCGCGGCTGTGTGGGAAGGAGGGGGGGGGGGGGTCCTCAGAGAGAAAGCGCCCTTCCCCCGCATTTTTGACAGCTCGATGGCCCGGCGTCGCTCGCCATAAGTCAATGCGGGCCGCGCAGAGCCGCGCGTCAAATATATGATATTGACATGTCCCGACACCGCGCGGCCCTGTTGCGATAGTGGTTGTTTTCGCTACGTTTTGTGCTTGGCCCCGCGCGTGTTACACGAATTGCGGGCTCTCCGGTCGACGTGCGGCCGCACTTCTTCCCCGCAGCGGTCTCGGCGCAGTGGTTTGTTTCGTTCCGCGCGCTATGGACACGTGTTCTCGCGATAAGTGGATGCGGGAAATGACTGGAATGATTTTCTCGCGGTTAAGGCGTATTGAGCGGTCGGAAGACGGAACGGCGCACCGTGGTGTGCGTTTGTGTGTGCGCGCCCGACGCTTGGCCGATATGTACAGCAAAATGCGCGCGCAGAGGCGCAAGAAACACGCTTCAACGGACGTGTATATCAGCGCGCCGAATAGCTGGACGGGGCACGATGATGAAAAGCTGTTCAGCACAGTTTAATAGCAGCGAATTTCAATGCGTCGCTGTCAAGTGTCGCAAGGCGGGTGTGTGGCATTAACCACAATATAGGGGGCGCCACACCACAGCTGGTACAGATTTTGTTCGTAGGTGCGTGATTTTGTTCGCCAAATCGATGTGAATTTTATTCTGTCCCTGTGTCGTGCACCAATGCGGAAGCTAAGAGTTCTACCACGTCAAAGAAATATATATATATTACCATTATGTATCGTCAGCAGTGAACAAGTATACATCGTGCTTTCGTGCTTTCAGGATGCGGTCTGCGTGCACCACCTTATATACTCTGTATGCAATGATCGCAACGTACGTCATTCTTTTTGCATGCTCGATAGATGCAAAATTTACACGAGTAATATAGGTATGTTATTCTGTTTTGTTTTACTTTGTTCTAAGAACGTCCATTCTGGCCTTCATTGAAAACACAGTGAGATGCAAATATTCCATGAGCCAGCACCATATAGAAATTCGATTCTAGGTTTTTATCAATACATCAATACATATGTCGGGGTATCGATTTGATCCCGGCCGCGTGTGTACTATGCAGTGTCAGTGCACATAATATATATATATATATATATATATATATATATATATATATATATATATAACAAAGCACATGGCAACATCAAGTTTCTACGTTCCTCAGTATCACTTGACTGCCTTGAATTTTCACTCACGACTTTTTCATTGTAAAGTGATCAAACAGATTGTCAAATTCTTAGCAACCAAAGAAATGCCTAATAGCAGTGGTTTAACCTTGATGTTGTTAATTTGTTTTGCTCAGTACCACACAATGAACTCATGTAGTGTGTAAAAATACATCGCGCAGGAAAATGACGGACTTTCATTCATACCCAAATGTGTGATGTCTGTTGATAACTTCATGGACTCTTTTTTTACTTGAATTATACTGTCGTATTCTGGGGCGATAAGTTTTATGTTCAAAAGTCTGGCATTTGTATCAGCTCTCGTGTAGCACCCGTCCTGTGCTACTCGAGAGCTGATATTCTTATTTTGATAGGGCTTTGGAAACGGCACCGAGAAGCCTCGTAGTTAATGTCTTCAGGTTTGAGGACGATTACATTGTGCTAGTTCATTCAGCTTCCTCGGAACAAAACCGAAATAGGACTATAGAAATCTTCGAACAAAAAGGGCATGAGTTCACGCACGAGGTTCCCCAAAATAATGTATTGCAGTTGCTCGATTTTGACTCATCTTTTCACGCAGATCTCCTATGCTGGTATTATTCTCCACGTTCAAACAAACCAATCCTAGATTACTCTCCTTCGCATTCTAAAGTAGTAAAACCGGCTACTGCGATTAACCTTCTCAATTCTGCTATAACAAAATCTTGTTACCACAAAATGACCTGTGTTTTTTTTAAATCAAACAATTAGGTTGCAAGAGGCAGACTTTCTGTCTTTTTTTTTTTGGGGGGGGGGGGGGGGGGTCGCCGATCAGAAGGTATTGCGAATAAAGAAAGGAATGAATTGCTCCATAAAATATGCCAAAAACGACGAAAGTTTG